GTCCTGGGCTGCACCCCGAAGGGCCCGGCCCGGCGCTGGGATGACACTCGGGAGCGAGCGGCCGGCGAGCGTTCAGTGACGCTCAGCTGGAGGCAACGTGGGGAGGGCGGTGATCGCAGAAGTTGGTGGTTAAAACTCCAAGTCCGGTCCCAAGCGGACCTCCCCCGAGCCTCCTTCCGGAGACGTTTGCTTGGGAGGTGACGGAGGCAGAGTCGAGGCTGTGGTTTATCGCACCCTGCGGTCTGTGGGTGTCTCAGAGCGAGATGTGCAGCCTGGAGGGGTCTGATGGGGTACTTTTTATTTTATTTTTATTTTTGCCAGGGAAGTGAGGTGGTTCTAATGTGCGGCCGGGAGGAGAGGCCCTCAGCTTATCTACCGTTTCCCCAAAGCCTGGGCTCGCCCGGGCAAATGATGAAAATACAAATCCCAGGGCCTTTCTCCAGCCCCCGGGAAGGAGGCCCCAAGACCCTCTCCAGATGGTGCTTTGGTCGGGGATTGCGGGATCAGCCAAGTACAGCCATCCCTCTCCATCCGTTTCTGAATCAGAACACGGGGGTTGGGGTGTCAGGGTGAAGTTCAAACTGCCTCTCCTCCCCAGTCAAAACCTTGTAGGGCGTCGACAGAATAAATTTTGAAGAAGCATCTTAGCTGGTTGTGTTTTGTATGCTGCCTCCCCCACCCCTGGACTCAATCTGGTCCTCTCCCCCTTCTTTTATAATTGAGGAAACAGACCAAGCGGTTGCATAATCTGCCCAGTCCCAGTTTGCCAGGGACTGAGCCGAGCAATGCTCTTGCTTTGTATTTTAGCAGCGATTCATAATGATAATTATTTTAGGGGGGAAAAGGTAGTTTGCCAATAGTAATTGTATATAGTGAAGGAGAACAGTAGTATTCTTTTTGTTGTTGTTAATCCTCACCGGAGGGTATTTTTTCCATTGATTGTTCGAGTGGAAAGGAGGGGGAGAGATGCACAGAGAGAGAGAAACATTGATGTGAGAGAGACACATGGATTGGTTGCTTCCCGCAAGTGCCCAGAAAGAGGCTAGGGATCAGCCTGAGGTACATGTCCTTGGCCAGAATCAAGCTTGTGACCCTTTAGTCCCTGGGCTGATGCTCTAACCATTGTGCAAACTGGCTAGGGTAAGAACATAGTATTCTTAAGCGATCCACCCCAGAACCTTCAACAAGCTGTGTTGAGAGGACAGCCAGAACTTCCGTGCCACCTGGAGCCCAGGTTTGGGCTGGACAACTTCCTACTAAAAATTCCATCTTCATATGATTTGAGGATTCAAGTTAACTTCAAAATAGAAAAAAAAAATAACTAGCCTTTAAAATATGCCCAGCAAAGATACTCCTGAGCAGAGAGAGAGAACCAGAAGTTAAATATTTGCAAGTGGAATAAAAGTCAGATACAGCCCTGACTGGTTTGGCTCAGTGGATAGAGCGTCGGCCTGAGGACTGAAGGGTCCCAGGTTCGATTCTGCTCAAGGGCATGTACCTTGGTTGCAGGCACATCCCCAGTAGGGGGTGTGCAGGAGGCAGCTGGTCTATGTTTCTCTCTCCGATGTTTCTAACTCTCTATCCCTCTCCCTTCCTCTCTGTAAAAAATCAATAAAATATATATTTTTTAAAAAGTCAGATACACAAATTACCATTACCTTAGGGCTACTGAACGGTGACTTTATTTGGTTTATTTCCTCACCTACACATTGTAGACAGGAAGAAGAGGAGGGAGTTGCTCTATTTTTAAAAATATGTTTTTATTGATTTTAGAAAGGAAGGGAGAGGAAGAGAAACATCTATCAGCTGCCTCCTGCACGACCCCTATTGGGGATTGAGCCCACACCCTGGGTATATGCCCTACAGGGAATCAAACCAGTGACTTTTTGGTGCATGGGACAACACTCAAACCACTGAGCCACACCAGCCAGCTGGAGTTACTCTTTTGCAGATAATGCTTCTTGAGTGTTACCCTGATATTTCTAAAGCCAGCTGTGTCAGGAGTTGGCAGCTTTTCTTGAAACTGAGCGTCAGGTTCAATTTCAGTGTCATTGGATAGCTTCGGAATTGCACGCTTTGTGTGTTTGAGTGATACAGACTCATTGATTTTAAAAAAGTACTTTCAAATGATTCAAAAAGTACAAAGATGTCAAAATCCCCTGGCTTTGCACTCATAGTCTCTCTGATTATTGTTTTCCACCTTGGCTGCATATTAGAATTACTTGGGGAGTTTTTCTTATTGCTTTGGGGAGGAACATTTAAAAACCTTGCTGGTTGGGGTACAGATTCTGATTTAATTGGTCTGGAGTGGGGCCAGGGCTTTTGTACTTATTGTTATTTTTTAAGCCTTGACGGAAGCTTTCATATTACTAAATAAAGAGGCTAGATTATTACCTTTCTAGTTGTGTTACTAAATAGTTTCCTGTGTTTTCCCTCTGCCTAGAAGCTAGAGGGTCAATTCATTTCTTCTTTATGTAATATCTATATATATAAAAGCCAAGCTACCGGAACCACAGAACAACTGGAATGACCCATTGCTATGACGCGCACTGCGGCAGCCAACCAGCCCGATTGGGACCTGATCAGCCC